GAAAGAAAATGGTTAGAGGTACAAGGAAGCTTTAGGGTAGCGGAGCTGTGGTTAAAACAATGACAAGAGTTAGTAGTCCTCATTAGGTCCTAATGTGTCCAGATAATTGGCAAGTTTAACTTTTTAATAAAAAATGTACATGGATGATTTAAGCATGAAAAGCAGTGTATTTCCTCCATTGAAGGCTGAAAACTGACATTAATGACATTCATACAGCTGGTCAGGAGAGAGCTCACTAAAAACATAGCTTCACTTGAATGGTTTCCAGGAACTTTTCAAAGCCAATAGTAAATAGCTAGGGGAGGAATTCGAGGGATCCAAGTAAGGCACTCTTGGACCTACCTCCATGATAAAACAACAACAACACATACATACAACAAACAACAAATAAACTACTTGATACTCACACTTTGGGTCCACCATTGACATTAGTCTTGTGTTCTATGTCCTCGTTGAATATGATTTGATTATCCTTGTCATTGATCGTAGATTTACCCACAGTGAAGAGAATACTAGCATCAAATGCATTCTTGAGAAGATCTAACACTTCCCTGCCTTCTTCGTTATCTGGAAGAAATGTCCTCCTAGAAAGTTTGTCGTAAGGAGTGCCAGGGTTCGGATGAAAGAGGCCCTGATTGAGAAAGTTAATAGTATCATATGTACAAAAAAGGAAAAAAAAAAAAAAAAAAAAGAGGAAAAGGAAAAGAAAGTGCACGAGGAAAAAGAAGAAAGCTTAAGTGGAAAATATTGTAATTGTAAACCCTTCAAGGATACCAACCTGTGTTCCCTCAGGAAATTCATAGTCGACATATATTGTAGCACAGCTCTCGTGACCCACCAAACCTTTTTCTATGATACCAGACTTCATTTGACCATTTGGAGGCTGTAGCGCAATTCTAGGGACAACTTCGTGGCAAGTTGGACAAACACTGTTACGGTCAGCGTTTTGAAGGTTGTCGAAGCAGTTTCTACAGACCGCGTGACCAGAATCACAAATCCTTAAAAATTGAGCTGCATCACGGGTACTGAAGCAAAATCCACATTCTTGATTTTTGTTTGATATGGCAGAAGTAGTTCCTTTTTCTAAAACATAAAATATATTAACTTAATTCACTCGTTTTCATGCATTTTGACAAAGCATGATTTCGGGTGTCACTCAACTCAGTCGAGACACATTTTTTTCACCATCATTATCTTAACAATGCTGAATTATAAAACTTCCCCCTCCCCCAATGAAAAAAAAGAACCCCCACACAAATGCAAATACGCAGAGACACTGACAGCCCGGGGGGAGGGGGGGGGGTACTCCCATATATTTGCTATACGGGTATGTGCCGCCCTATAGGGTATGGTTTTTCGGCTTTTGGGTCTGGAGTAGGGTATCATATTTTGACATTTTGTCTGGGATAGGGTATCATTTTAGTCTGGGATAGTGTTAACGATTTGGTCATTTTTGTCTGGCGAATAGGCTACGCTTTCTGCCGGCACAAAAACAAAGACGTTAGTAAATATTGATTGCAATCTATTGGAAAACCGTTTTTTTCCGTCTTTTAGTCTTGGATAGGCTGTACAATTCTTAGTTTTAGTCTGGGGTAGGGTATGTAAAATCAAAAATTTAGGTCTGGGATAGGGTCAGGGTTTTGAGGTCCTGGCGGCACACCCCTACCCAAGTTGGGGTGGTAGTACC